GTTTTTTTGTTTTTCTATTGACGGTGATACAGTTTGCACCAGACCAAACAAACAACTGCTTTTGGATAACAGGATCCACAACACAGCTTATATTATCTTCCAGTATTGTTTCAGTCATGTTTGTAATACATTAAACTATTCATAGATTAATACAAACAGCAGCTATCCCAGCTCTCTCATTACTCCATTTATGTTGTAAAATAGCCAAGTAGGGTATGACAAAATGTCACTGGGGATGTGGGTCTACCAACAGAGAGAGACCATTAGAGACTGGGGGTCAAGCCAGTGGCTAGATCTACCCCAGCTGGGATGTCCACCCATCCAGGTTTTGTCCCCTCTGTCTCCTAGCCAAGTATCAACTTTTCCTTCTGTCCTTCTCCCAGGTAGATATCAACATCACCTCCTTCTGCCAGGGAGGTATTAACACCTCTTCCTATTTTCCTTCTCATGTCCTTGGGATCAGGGTATAGTGCTGCCAAGAAGCAGGTCTGAAAATTTTGCTACTGGAGTTCTGGGACAATCCAGACAATTAACAGATCCCAACAGTGCCCTACAGTACTTTGTTCTTAATAAGGACTAGCCTTTAGAAACTCTCCATCAAAGATATGGTGCAATGCATAAGTATTGCATTGTTGAGACAACAGGTAATAAACATGCTAATAACAATAAAATATTTATAAAAAGGGTTTGGGATAACAAAAAATAGCAGGGAATATGTATTTTACCTGCATAATCCATATAATGCAAATTAATAAATCTTGCTGTTCAGTTAATGCACGTAACTTCATAAGCTGTTCACAATCAACAGGTGGCTCTGCACATAACTGTTGGAGACTCATTTCAACAAACAGATGTTGTTGTGCATAACTTTTCTAAGCTCATTCACAACCAATAGGTGGCGATGAAGCCATCACTTAATCAAAGATCTTGATCTGGTATGTTTATGTTGTAGAGTAGCCAAGTAGAGAAATGGTTTTAGCAAATGACTACTAACTGTGCTGTTTAGGTTTGTTCAGACATACAGCAAAATAATAAACCAAAAGGTCTAATTTTAAACTGATGCTTCCTTATCTAGTTTTTTAAAAGGGCAGTTTGAAAAAAGTTGCACATCTGGGTAAAACTTTAACCCCTTCCCTAAAACTATCGTTCATAGAGGATACAATATGTGCCAAAGAACAAGATTCATATATCTCTTTAATATCAGGTACTCCCAGGGGCGGACTGAGAACCCTCAGGGCCCTCGGGCAAAATAAATCAAGGGCCCCCTTACAGGCCCCACCCATACTCTGCAGCAAGCGCCACCCTTGTCCCGCCTCCATGCACCGCCTCCAGCCACACCCTACACAATCTTTAGACACAAGGAACAAAAGGGCAATAAGCCCTTCGAGGCCCCAGTAGAGACTACAATTGAGGGCTAATGGGCCATGGAGGGGGGTCTTTCTAGCGGAGGCTATCTCAGTGTCCTTTAGAGAGTGTGTTAGAAAGAATCCCCTCCAAGCCCCATTAGAGACTACAATGGAGTCTAAAAGGCTTGGAAGGGGGTCTTTCTAACAGAGGCCATCTCAGCGTCCATTAGATATCCCCTGCTGGAAACAGTCGCCTCCAGGCCCCAGTAGAAACTACAATTGAGGGCTAATGGGCCATGGAGGGGATTTCTAGCAGAGGCTAGAGTCTAATGGGGCCTGGAGGGTGGTCTCTCCAGCTCTCTTCCTATTCACAATATAGCAACACAACATAGCTCGCTGATACCTAAGCCAAGTTGGCTCCTCTTACCTTAATTACTGTTGCTGGCTGGCAGTCTGTGGGCTTGCTGGCTGCGGCTGGCAGGCTGTGGGCTTGCTGGCTACTGCCGGCAGGCTGTGGGCTTGCTGACTGCGGCTGGCAGGCTGTGGCTTGCTGGCTGTAAGCCTGTGGCTTGCTGTAGGCCTGTGGGCTGGCTACTGGCCTGTGGGCTGGCTACTGGCCTGTGGGCTGGCTAACTGGCTGGCTACTGGCCAGCCTGTGGGTTGGCTGGCTGGCTACTGGGGCACTTGTAGATTATTTAAAGAAATAATCCATGCACAATAACCACTACTGCTCCAGAGTAAGTAGTCAAACCGTTTAAGAACAGTTTGACAACTTACCTGGGGTCTGCTGGGATATGAGGCTGTAGTAGGGAATAGGAGCAGTGGTGCAATGTGTGTGAAAGGTTCAGTGTGTGTGTGGGGGTGTAGTGTGTGAATGTGTAGGGTGTGTGGGCAGTGTATGTGTGTGGCAATGTTAGTATGGGGGGCTGTGTATGGGGGTCTGTGTGTATATGGGTGGGCAGTGTATGTGTGTGTGTGAGGCAATGTGTGTAAATGTGCATGGTGTGTATGGGGGCAGTGTGTGAATGTGTATGGTGTGTGTGTGTGGGGGCAGTGTGTTTATGGGGCTAGAGTTCACTCTCACCACTGCGACCACCAGGAATCCATGGGGGTTACAGTGTTGAGAGTGAACTCTAGCCCATAGCTCCAGGGCTAGAGTTGACTCTCGCAAGAGCAGTAACGTTGCCATGGTAACCGCGGCAACGCTCTGTGCTCGCGCAAGAAGGACCCAGAGGAGCTGCAGGGTGAGCTCCCAGGTCCTCTCTTCCTGCGGTGCCTGCGGACAGGGGAGGAGGGGCATTCTTCCCTCTCTTTCTCCCCCCTCCCCCAACTCTCTATTCCCCCTCTTTCTCCCCGTGTCTCATTCTTCCCTCTCTGTCTCTTTCTCCCCCTCCCCATCTCTCTATTCCCCCTCTTTCTCCTCCCTCAGCCCTAGCCTTTCCTCTGCCCTGCCCTCCCCTTTTTGTCTCTATTCTCCTTTCTTCCTCTCTCTTTTCTCCCCATCTTTATTCCCCTTTTCTCCCCCTCCCCATCTCTCTATTCCCCCCGTGTCTCATTCTTCCCTCTCTGTCTCTTTCTCCCCCCTCCCCATCTCTCTATTCCCCCTCTTTCTCCCCTCTCCCCCATCTCTCCCTCCCTATCTCTCCCCTCTCCATCTCTCTTTCTGCCTCCCCTCTTTCTCCCCCTTCCCATCTCTCCCTCTCCATCTCTGTTCCCCTCTTTTCTCCCCCCTCTCCATCTCTCTGTTCCCCCCTCCCCATCTCTCTGTTTTCTGTGGTGGCTACTAAACCTATAAGACAATCATACCAACTTCTAAAATAATTTTCACATTAAAATTTTATTTTAGTCCTTGTATTTTGTGACCTGTAACTTTCAAAATAAGCTGAAATCCTATACATATTATGTATTTTATAAATCAAGACACATAAATGAATTTATTTTGAATTACTTTTTCTAAGCTGGACATATTATGCACACGCTATTATTGCCAAAACTGTGGGGAATTCTTTTTTTTTTCTTTCCCCATTTTGTGGCATTTGTTTTATAATTAATGAGAATTTATCTATGTATATGTGAAATAAAATTAAAGCCCTGTTGGCCCTCTGAAAAATGGTATGTAATATGTGTTGTTGCAATAAATGACAGAGATGCAAATTGTGTTTGAACACAAACAGCAAAAAATGCAAAAAATGGCTTGTGTCCTTAAGGGTAAGACAAGCTTTTGAATCTGTGTCCTTAAGGGGTTAATAATTGGAGAGGTTACCTACCCAGACATTAACTGAAATAATGGGACTAGTTGTTCAGCTAGGAAAAACATGTTCATGAACCTTTTAAATGATACCTTCATGTCTCCATGAGTATGGTATCATTTGTAATCATTTCAAAAAAGCAAATTCATATGGGGTTCATTAGCTGCATACTTTCTCAGTAAAAAGGGTGATTTTACTCACTCTTTCTCCATTGTCTGGGTGACTGCAACTAGAGGTGGCAGCAATGTAAATACTGCTTTTATAATGTAAATACACCATTTTCAGAGAAAAGCCTGCAGGGAGAGGAGATAAACACCAGAATCACTACATTTAGCTGTAGTGTTTCTGGTGACTATAGCGTCTCTTTAAAGACAAAAGTACAACGTATTGACTAGCAGAAACGCTCTCAAGAAAAGCACAGAGGATCATTTAAGATATATTATAAAATTGCTTTTCACAACATATACCATTTGGCAATAAATGCAAATTAGGTATTTAAGTCAGATTGATCAGTGAAGCCTCACATAAAAAAAAATCTGAAAATGACAACAATGTTAACAAAAGGGAAGTTAAGCTAAACTAGAAAATTAATAACAAAAAAGTGCATGACCAACCCCCCAAAAAGTTTAATTTTACATAATTTCTAAAAAAAAAATTGTGTATAGTATTGGAATCAGAAATGAATGTGTTTAGTACATTAGCATTAAGAAAAGACAGACATGTTTAAATATTTTTTTCTATATATAATAAAAAAGATTTTTTAGTGGTATTTGTGGTAATCACTGCTACAAAAAGAATTGTATAATATAGGACAAAGTATTACAGTTATGAAATAAAGTTAATTTAATCAAGCCTCGAAGCTAGCTAGTATTCACTTACAATTACTTAGGAAACAAATGCCTCGTTTCCACTGAGCGGATCGGTACAGTACGGTTCGCTATTTTGAGTGTTTCCATTATGAAAGTGGCCCATACAACCGAACCGTACCGCACCATTCAGGGTCCTGCTTCAGATGTAGGGCCATAGGAAATGGTATGGTTTGGTTAGGGCGGAACTACTATACAATCCATTTATTGATGGACAGGAAGAGCATTTTTTCTAAACCCTGCATGGCCCCTGAAGGTCTGACTTGCAGTGGAAACGCTCAGCAGAATAGGCTGGATCATTCTAAACCTTCTAAACTGTACCGACCCGAACCGATCCGCTCAGTGGAAATGAAGGAAAAAGAGTTTTTTGGAGTCAGGTTTCTACTTTTTAGCAGCCAACTTATTCTACATTTATATTTGGATGTAGAAGTAGTTTTTATTTACATGCTATGTGTATGTTATACATTTATTTTGTAGCAAACGCAAATTAGATTTATAACATAGGTATTTTTCTTTTATTGTTTTTTTATAGGTAATCAAGGAAATCTTAAAACACAAAGACAAAGATGGCATACTGATCAAGACAATAACTTGATGGAATCCTGGACTTCTTTGCTAAAATTTAATCAATTTCATCGTGGTAGAATTTCTAACTTGAATTTTGAAGGTGATATTTTTGATGAGTTTTTACTGCAACAAAAGATTGGAAAGCTATGTGATACTGCCGTAAAAAATTGTGCACAGGATATATCCAAGGTGGAAGATTCAAACACAGTGGAAACTGAAAGAGATGATAGAAATGATTTTGAAATACCAATCTTGCCATATGGACAACATCTGTGCATTCAAATTGCAACTACGTGGGGAGATAGGCATTATGTTGGTCTTAATGGAATTGAAATCTATTCTTCTAATGGTAATCCTGTTAAGATAGCGAAGATCACAGCCGATCCCCCAGATATTAATATATTACCAGCATATGGTAAAGATCCAAGAGTTGTAACAAATTTAATTGATGGCGTAAATAGGACACAGGATGACATGCATCTTTGGCTGACACCATTTACTCCGGGAAAACGTCACTTTATTTTTATGGATTTTTTACAACCATGTAACGTTGCAATGATTAGGATTTGGAATTACAATAAGTCAAGAATTCATTCATACCGTGGCATAAAAGACATTGAAATCACTTTAGATAATTATAAAATCTTTAAAGGTGAAATTGCTAAAGCTTCAGGAACACTATCTGGAGGTAGGTTCTTTATAAGTATGTAAAACTGATGATATATTCTTGAATTTAAACATGGCTTTATTTGACAAATAGCATAATTTAAAAGGATAATCTAAGTACCAGAACTTCAACAGCTTAGTGTAGTGTTGACAATTAGTGATGTCCCGAACTGTTCTCCACGGTTCGCGAACGGTTCGCCACGGACTCATCATTGCGTAAACTTTGACCCTGTACCTCACAGTCAGCAGACACATTCTAGCCAATCAGCAGAAGACCCTCCCTCCCAGAGGGACAGCTCACTAAGAATGCAGCTTCACAATGGATGCTGTCCAGGAGGTGGCAGGGTCTGGGAGGGAGGGTCTGCTGCTGATTGGCTGGAATGTGTCTGCTGACTGTGAGGTACAGGGTCAAAGTTTACTCAATGTTGAGTCCGCGGTGAACCGTTCGGCGAACAGTTCGGGACATCACTATTGACAATACATGACATTTACAGGGGCAGTCTGTTTGGTTTTGTCTACCTACTTTCTCCTAGCACCCAAAGCCTGGCCCCCCAGGAGCTGAAAAGATAATGCGTACATTTCCCTTCAACATTATCGTTAAAAATCAATTTGGATAGCTGAGTAATGTGTTAAACTGCTCCCAGCCTATCTTTGCCATTCAAATTGTATGGTACACTTCAATTCCACTTTCACTTCTCCATTATCTCAATGGGTAGTGTATGGCAGCATAGCTTTATATAAACTGCTTGAAAATGCACCATTGTCTCATTGCTCCCCCGCTCCATTCTTGGCCTCTTACAAAAGCGGCAGGCAGTGCTTTTTACATAAGGTGCCTAACTCCTACCTTTGTGTCTTCTCCCTTCACCACCCTCCCGTTCAGTTAAGCTATATGTAGAACTATTAAAGCAGGCACTTCTTCAACCATCGGGTAGATATGATTTAAAAAGTGCCTACATACCCTGCCTGCCCTACGCCTGGCACTACAAAATTAAAACCCTCATGGTGACAGCCACTGCTAACCTTGGACCATATCTTAAGTTACCCCCGACCCGGCTCCCTGCTGTGGATTCAACCACGGTACATAGATCTAATAAGGCAGACACCTCTTCAACCATTGTGCTTAATATGATTTAAGAGAGGACACCCAGTGCCCTTGTTGTAGTGAAGGAGGAAAAACCAAGCTGATTATGGCAATTCTACTTTAAACCTGGTTAACATTGCTCCATTAGCTTCTTTAACAAACTTAATAAAGCTGTACTATGCTTTAACTTTTCATGTAAATGGCTTGTTACTTTTATTTTTAAGTTTAAAACCTATACTACAGTACAGAGTATTTTCTGTGACAAAATTCACACATATATATTATTGTACATTTACAACTAAAATAAAATAACATCAAATACATGTTAAAAAAATAATTATTAGTTTGTATTAGTTTCCCTGAAATCCTTCTAATTGCTTCTGAAGCTAAAGAAAAAAAAAACTTATATATATACTTGCCATACTTTCCTTGCCTGGCAATTCCAATTGGGGGGATTAGAGATAAAGACATACTATATCCCAAAAGGTGGACATTAACAGTGGATATTATTAATATAAAATGGAAATTTACCCTTGGAGTACACTGTAGAGAATAAGAAGATTCCTCCATAGCTTCTGTATAGATAAATGTAAAAATATAATCTACAACAGGGGTGCCTACACTTTTTAGTGTCATGATCTACTTTTCAAATGACCAGCTCAACAAGATCTACGTACAAAAAAAACAAACTGCTCTTACATACATTAAAATCCTTATTGTGACTACTGCACACATCGTTCCCTGAATAAAATGATATATAATAAGTGTGGGTGCACATAATATGAAAGAGGCAAATTACGACTGAACAGACATATAGCACAAATTAGGGATTATTCTAGCCCTGGTGACTGAATAATATAAATTTTATTAACGACAGGAGGTGAATATTTGCTTATCTTTCTTTACTGAACCTCCCAGCAGCAAAGAAATGGTTAACAGTAATGTAAAACAAATTCAACCAATCAGAGTGTATGACAGTAGTATATGATGTCATGAAGCTCCTCCCAAATCCTCTTTCTTGCTGTAGCCGACGGCACCCGAGTATCAACCATGTAAACCATAACAATGAACTGTGGACTAAGCCGGAGTCCTGATGCAGTCAACCATGTAAACTTGCAGCGGGTTGATAGATCCATAAATCCCAAGCGTTGGGGTTCTTCAACTAAAGGGAAGTAGAGAAAAAACTATGAGAGTATAGGCTCTTATACTGATTGAATGCAAGTTTATGGCAAGCATACTAGGACCAACAATCCCCAAACATTTCATGTGAAATGATATTAAATATATCAAATGCCTGGTTAAAGTGTTGTGGTATAAACCTATGTCAGATGATGTGTGAGTATGTCTGAAACAGATCGACTAGGGACGAATACCTAGCAACTTACCTTAGGGTGGGTAGAAATAATACTGAAGACAAGAAGGGAGGGAAAATATTCGCCTCCTGTCGTTAATAAAATTTAGATTATTCAGTCACCAGGGCTAGAATCCCTAATTTTATGGCAAGACAAGAGGCTTCATATTTGCTGTTTTAACGCTCCTATATTATAGAAGATGCAGCATGTGGCATAGGTTTGAAGTAGAATGTACGAAATGTAGACTCCCTGGACCAATCCGCAGATGCCAGAATGTCCGAGAGGGAGCTACCCGCACGAAACGCTGAGGATGCGGCTGATCCTCTGACTGAATGCGCCCCAAAAGAAGAGTCAATGTCTGCTTGGGCTAGTATCCATCTGATCCACTGCGCGACTGTGGGAGCGGACACCGGTTTGTGTGGTTTGACATAGGACACGAGAAGGGGTCCTGTAGGGGGACGCAGAGTGGCTGTGGCAGCTATATAGTGCCTTAAGCAGAGCGCCACACAGAGTGACTGTCTAGTCGGAAAGTAAGGGTAAAAAACGGCGGTAGAATTGGTCTTTGTTCGCCTCGTGATGTGAAATTTGACGCCTTCCGGCAAGAAGGCTATAGCATGGGAATCAAATGCTCGAATGTCGGAGACCCTACGGAAGGACAGCAGACATAAAAGTAAGGCCAGTTTGGCAGAGAGTTGCCCATTAGAGGGCCAGGATTCTAAAAGGGAAAAAACCTGAGCGACATCCCAGAAATTTTAATATTTGGGAAGAGGGGGCCTGGCAAGCCTGATCCCTCGTAAAAGTCTACAGACTGAAGGATGTTTGCCTATTGATGTATTGTCAATAGGGTTGTGGGCCGCAGAAATAGCTGATCTAAAAACATTAATTGATCTATAGGACTTGCCTTGATCAAATAGGGTAGACAGAAAGTTTAGGATAATCGTCAGAGGTGCTGAGAAGGGATCGGTATCCCTTTCCAAACACCAGCTGACCCATGTTCGCCATGCAGCGAGGTAAGCACGTCTAGTGCCTGGGGCCCAGGAGTCCCATAGGAGAGTCTGAGCTGTCTCCGAAAGTCCAGAGACATTCCAGGATCCCCTGAAACGGTCCAAGCTACAAGCTGGAGTCGCCCTTGAAGGGCGAGTGGGTGACAGTGCCCTGCTGGATTCTTGAGGATGTCGGGGGATCGAGGTAATAGAATTGGGCAATTCACAGACATTTCTAGCAGAGTTGGAAACCAAGTCTGGGCTCTCCATAACGGAGTGACAATAACTATTGTCACTACTAGAGCTTTGACCCGGTAAAGGGTGCGTTGGATCAAGGAGAAAGGCGGGAAAGCATAAGCTCCCTTCTCTGGCCAAGGGTGTAGAAAGGCATCGACTGCCCAGGACAGGGGATCTGGAAGCCAGCTGATAAAAGCCTCCGTCTGGCGATTCAGCCGAGATGCAAACAGTCCAGTGTGAGGGGCCCGCGAAGACAAAGAATTTGATAGAACAAGTGGGGGTCCAATTGCCAGTCGCTTACATCCCTCCAATGGCGAGAGAACCAGTCTGCGACTAGGTTGTCTGTGCCTGGGACATATTCCGCTCTGATGGCTAAATTCCGCTCTAGGCAGAATTGGTAAAGTTCCTTGGTAAGGTTGGACAGTAGTTTGAATCGGGAACCTCCTAACCGATTCACATAACGCACTGCAGAGACGTTGTCCATGCGTAGTACTAGTGAACAATTGAAACAATCTTTTGCGAAACTGCGAATCGCAAAAGATCCCGCAATCAATTCTAGGCAATTGATGTGCAGTGCTCGTTCGGAGGGGGACCATAGTCCCCCAGTGGACCTGTCGGCGCACGTGGCGCCCCATCCCAGGAGACTGGCATCGGATTCCAGAATGAAGTCTGGTTGCGATCCAAAAATGGCTTTGCCATTCCAGGCTTCCATGTTGTGAAGCCACCAATGAAGTTCTATCCGAACCTCGTCTGTGAGGTAGATGGGTTGGTCGTAGGAAGTGGAATGGTGTAGGTAGTATGTCTTGAGCCGTTGCATGGCTCGGTAATGCAGAGGTCCCGGGTAAATGGCTTGAATAGAGGAGGACAGTAGGCCTATAGTATGGGCCAGATCGCGTAGACGAATCTGGTGGGCTGATAGCAATTTGCGAATGTCTTTTTTTTTATAGATTTGACCTTTGCGGAGGGTAGTTGTAAAATCGCCTGTACGGAGTCTATCAGAAATCCGAGAAACTGAACCTTCTGAGAAGGGTTCAGTGCTGATTTCTGGAAATTGAACACAAACCCAAGGTTTTGTAGTAAGGCCATCGTCATGTCTGTGTGTTTGCGTAAAAGATTTGAGTCTTGAGCCATTATTAGGATGTCGTCCAAATATATAATGGACCGAATCCCCTGTGATCGGAGCAATGCCATCACTGGTTTCATCAGTTTTGTGAAGCACCATGGTGCGGAACAAAGACCGAACGGCAGGCATGTGAACTGCCAGATTTCTTCCTGCCAGAGAAATTGGAGGAAGGCCCGATGGTTGCGGGCAACCGGGACTGTGAGATATGCGTCTTTGAGATCGAATCTGGAGAACCAATCTCCCACGCAAGGGAGGTCCCTGAGTAGATGGATGCCCTCCGTCTTGAAATGACGATACCGGACAAAGTGATTCAGGTCTTTCAAATTGATAATTGGACGTAAGTCTCCTGTTTTTTGTGGACCAGGAAAATGTTGCTGAGAAAGGTATGTGGGAACAGGGATTTCTCTATTGCCCCTTTTTTTAGTAACTTGTGCAACTCTGTTTGCATTGTCAGGTTGTCTGATGGAGACATCTGCATTGGAGTAGGTGGTGTGTCTTGGAAGGGAGTGGAAAGAAAATCTATTGTGAACCCCTGGACTGTGTGTAGGATGTGTGTAGGATGTCTTGTGAAAGCAGTTCCCACTGTTGGAAAAAAATGGGTTAAACGGCCTGCAATAGGTACATTTGAAAAAGGAAGGTTTATTACCTGAAGCAGTGCGTCCGCGTAACGAGGCAGATCCACGTCCCCGGATAGATCCTCTATTGGAGAATAACTGCCTGTGGTAGGGTCGGGGTTGTCCCGAGTGCCAATAATTTTCTGAAGGGCGAGGCCTGTAGCCTGTGAAGGCAATTCTGCTGTTCGTTCGGCCTTGAAAACGTCCAGCTCTCCCAGAAAAACGACCTGACTGGGAACGAAAAACCCTGCGCAAGGAGGATTGTTCCTTATTTAGGGTAGTGAATACCGCTACATGTTTGGAGAGATCCCTCATAAATGAATCGCCAAACAGCAGACCATTGGCCTCAGGTCCCAGTTCTCGGGAGCTCAGATCAGCTAATTTAGCATCTAGTTTGTACAATGCCGCCCTGCGTCTCTCAGTGGACATAGCCACGTTTGCGTTGCCTAGGAAACATAGGGCTCTCTGGGCCCACTCTCTGACTGTGTTGGGGTCAAATTCGCCATTAGTTATGGCTTCGTCTGCCAGTATAAAAATTTGAATGATTGGACCAGCAATGTCCAGGAGTTTATCTTGGGCCGTCTTAAGACCCTGCTCAATGCCTTTGTGGGGATCTTTCCTCGTCTTAGTGAGAAATGTTACAAATAGAGGGTCAAACTCTGGTGTGAGGGCCACCTTGTTTGGAATGGTTGGTCGAGGGCACTCGGCTCTGAGTTTCACCCTGATGTCTTTTTCAAGTGGTTTACGTAACCACATTCTGCAAAAGTTAGAAATGTGGTCCGGTGGGGCCCATTCGGCCGACCGTGGATGCTTAATGACCCTGGGGTCGAAAAAAGGGACACCCGAAGCATCCAGAAGAATGTCTGAATCGGGTCCCTTCTGCATATTAACTTTTTGCATCTGATTCTTTGTGTGATATGAAAGTCTCCTTGACAAACTCTGATGGGGAATCCCCTAGCACATTCGCCGAAGGGTCCTCATCAGAATAATCAAGGCAATAATCTTCAACCCTATCGCCCGTGTGGGAAGTAGAGCCCTCTAAGGGGTCGGAGATGGCGTGGGCGGGTTGAGTGGCAGTCAATTTTAGGGACTTGGCAGGAGCCTTACCTTTGCCCGCAGACCTACTATCCCCTTTCCAAGGGCGCTTACGTGTGGTCTCCTGATCCGAGGGTTGAGAATCCTCGGAGTCAGAAGGCAAGCGTGCGGTAGTATTGACTTTGGCAGAAGTCTTCTCATGAAAGGTGGTTAACGCCTTGGGAATGGATTCGGCAATGGTTGAGACCAGCCAATCTCTAAGTTCTTGGGAGATTGTGGGCTCCGTGTTATCAGACATGATATGTCCTAAGTGGTTTGACTGGTAGTCAATTGCTAAAGAATAGGTAATAAGTGGTGTTCACCCAATAGTATCAAATTAAGTTTTATAAATGGGGGTCACCCAAATTATTTTGTAGATAATAGGTAAAGGGCGGCATACAAAATTTAGTGGGGTAACCACTAAAATAGACAAGTGGATTGTACCACTATAACAACAATGAGTGGGATTTGTCACTCAATTTATTTAGACTGATGGTTATGTCTTGAAATATATGGGATCACTTTGTGTTTCCACTTTGTGTTTCCTTATGTGTAGAAGTGGGGTTCACCCACTGTAAAGGTGGTGTATAGGCACCTATTATAACTGAAGAGTGAATAAAAGGTGAGGGTCACCCACAATAAGCACTCATTAAATAAATTGAGGGATAATAAAGGTGGGGGTCACCCACAAGGCCTTCTTTATTAGCAAAAATTTCAACTGACAGCCTGTTAAAGGAAAAAAAGAAATAAGCAAAATAGATAATTGAAATAGAGGAGTAGCACTTTAAGGGTGCTATGCAACGTAAAAACAAAGTACTTACCGGATCCAACGTTAGGGGGAGCGAGCGAGCCGAAACGAAGTAAGACCGCAATCTAAGATGGCCGCCGCTGCAAAGGGTGGGAATACGCGCGTCTGTATGAGAGACAGACGCGGGAGGGCGGGTAGGCGAAAAAGGCGCAAAATAGTGAGCCGCGGACTCCTGGGAAATGGAGTTCACGGCACTGAATGAAGCAGAGGCTTAATGCCTCAGTCACCGTAGAATCGCGGGAAAACCCTGCGGCCACAAATGTAACATAGGTGTAGGCACAAGACCAGTGGAAAAGGTCGCGGAGGCAAGCCTCTGGCAAATTAAAGAGACATGATGAATGATGAATAAAATATAAAAAAAAAAATTATTCACCATAACATAATTGTAAGCATTGGTTTGATGAAAGAAATGTGAAGAGAAATTATAGGGACTTGAGTGATGGTTAGTGTTGGTTACCAGAGAAAAAGTTTGTTCAATATGTGAACATGAATGTATGATGCTAAAACTAAAATTTGTACCAAAGAAAATATTCAAATATTGTATTATAGGAAGAATGAAATAGCTGTATAATTGGAATAGACTCACCTGGGAGGCAAGCAGCAAAGAAAGAGGATTTGGGAGGAGCTTCGTGATATCATATACTACTGTTATACACTCTGATTGGTTGAATTTGTTTTACATTACTGTTAACCATTTCTTTGCTGCTGGGAGGTTCAGTAAAGAAAGATAAGCAAATATGAAGCCTCCTGTCTTGCCATAAAATTCAAGGTTTTTTTTATGTTTTGTTGTGATCACAACGTGTACATTTGGCTCAGTCCTTAAGGGGTTAACTATTCACAGATGTCTGTTGGAAGTGGTTTTCAATCACAATTTGTTCCCCACCATAACCTTTTTGGTTTTTGATAGATATTATATGTATATATAATATATACATACATACATACACACACACACACACACACACACACACACACACACTCTTATTATTTACATAAAAGTACAGGTGTGATGCCAAATAGCGTCAACGTTTCAGTCCCGGTTCAGGACTTACGTTGACGCTATTTGGCATTACACCTGTACTTTTATGCTGTCCTGAGGGTGGTCCCGAACTGGGACTGAAAGGCTGACACTATTTGACATCACACCTGTACTTTTAAAGAAAAAAGAGGGATGGAAGCTTAATGGTAATGCAACCTAGGCAGTGAAGGGGTTAACCCCAACTGGAATAATTCAAAAACGAAAATGAGAACTACTGCCATAGAATAGGATAAAAAGCTCTTCAATAAGAGCGCTATGATTTTATAGCCAGTCAAGAAAATACTCTTAAGGATTGTCATTGATGGATATAGATAGAAAAGGGAATAAATTAAATGTTTTATTTTTTATTTTCATTATCTGAAGAAACAGAATTATTAATGTATAAAAGGGGTATAATTAAACTCCTCATTGAGTCCCTGTGGAGTTAAAGTTTTGAATGAATAAATCCATTTGGATTCTTTTTGAAGTAGTAGTTTGTTAAAATTCCCTTTTCTTGGGTTGGAAGACAGTTTCTCTATAACTTGAAACCTAAGATTGTCAACTTTCCCCTGATGGAAATTCATGATATGTCTTGCTACTGGTGTAGGGTTAGTAGTGTTTTTAATGGAATTAATATGTTGAAGAATCCTCCGACGAAATGGTTGAATAGTCTTTCCTAAATACTGTATACCACATTTGCATGTGATCAAATATATTACTCGAGTGGTACTACAGTTTACCAAGGCATTGGTTGTAATGGTAATATGAGATTGCGTAGATGTCGTAGATTGAGAAGGGGTAATAAATTGACACGCCTTGCAATGGCCACATCTGTATGTTCCTTTTGTACTCGTGAGCCAGTTTGATTCTGGTGCCACAGGAGTCAGAAAGCTATGGACTAGAAGATCTTTTAAATTCTTTGATCTTCGAGCCGTAATTGTTGGATAATTAGGCAGTGACTGTTTCAACATGGGATTATGTAAAAGAATAGGCCAATGCGTAGAAAAAGTTTTTGTCATTTTGCTCCAACCACTATCAAAAGTGGCGATACATCTCGGAGTTGGGATATTTGATTTAGTACATGTAGACTTTAAACTCACCAATCTGTCTGTTTCACTGGCTCGTTGGTAGGACTTTATTGGGGTACCCCAAAGCTTTAAAGCGTAATTTGAGGGTTTGGCATTCCTGATAATACGTAGAATCTTGTGAACAGTTTCTCCTGGCTCTTAAATATTGGCCATATGGAATTGAGGCCTTCAATTTATAGGGATGATGACTCTCCCAATGGAGAAGACTGTTGGTTGATGTTGATTTCCTAAAAGGTTCTGTTTGGATAGTTCCATCCTCCATTAACAGAATTTTAAGGTCAAGGAACACTTCTCTATCATCGATGACATAAGTAAGTGTCAAATTAATTTGGTTGTTATTTAAACTTTTTACAAAGTCTTCAAAAGCTTGTACCGGGCCGGTCCATAACAGGAGCATGTCATCAATATATCTGTACCACTTCAAAATATATCTGTGGTACTCGCTATATTGTGAATCTTTCTGAATTGTTGCCTCCCACCAACCTAAAAACAAGTTTGCATATGTAGGGGCACAAGTTGTACCCATAGCAGTTCCAGTATTTTGTACGTAGTACTTGCCATTGAATATGAGATAGTTATGAGTCAAAATGAACTCCAAAAGCGAGATAATAAATGAAATTTGTGCTTCTTCATATGATGATGATTCTAAAAAGAAGCGACAAGCTTCCAGACCTGCCTGATGTGGAATATTACTATACAAGGATACCACATCAAGACTTGCTAGTAAGGTGTATGGTGGCACCTGAAGTCCTTCTAAGATCAACAAAGTGGATTTGGTATCCTGTATACACGATGGTAAATTAACAACGTATGGATGTAAAAGTTTATCAACAAATTTACTGGCTCTTTCTGTCAGGCAATTATTGCCAGAGACAATTGGTCTCCTTGGGGGTGTCTTTGTATCCTTATGTATTTTGGGCAAACAATACAGAGTGGCTATTGTAGGATGTTTGTGAGGTAAGAGATATTTTAACTCATCTGAGTTAATTATTTTATGTTCCATGGCTTTCGTAAGAAGGTTCTCAAATTCTTTTATGTACATTTCAGTGGGATCCGAAGGAAGCAGTGGCGTACTAAGGAGGGGGCTGGGGGCGGTCCGCCCGGGGTGCCACCAGGGTGGGGGGTGCTTTGACCAGCCCCCTCATGCAGCCGCCTCTAGCGCCTGTGAAGAGAGCCTCAGGGGCGGCTGCAGTTTTACGCCCGCGCCCATGAGGGCGGACCGCACCGCCTGGCGCGAACCTGAGGAGGAGAGGGCTGGACTGGAGGGAAGCTGCCAGCCCTCCTGTCATTTCTCCCTCTGTAGCGTGGTCGAGCCCCGTGCTAGTCGGCGGTACAGGGATGCACTTCCCTGTTAGTCCCGCCGGGTACAGGAAACAAAGCAACCTGTACCAATGACTATACAGGGCTCCGCCACTACAGCAAAGGTAGGGGGAGGGACAGAGGAAAGTGAAAGGAGGGGGGGGTGGGGTGGGGGTGAGAAAGAGTGAGAAAAGTGGGGTGAGAAAGGAGGGGGCTGAGAAAGAGAAATGGAGGGGGTTGAGAAAGGAGGGGGTGTATCAATTATGGGGGGGGTGAATTAGTTATTGGGGATGTATTAATTATGAGGGGTGGATTAATTATGGGGGAGTGGATTAATTAGTGTGGATTAATTAAGGGGGGTGGATTAATTAAGGGTGTGTGGATGAAATAGTGTGCATTAATTAAGGGGTATGGTTTAATTAAGGAGTGTGGTTTAATTAAAGAAAACATTTAACATTTTTTTACAGGTTTTTATTTTTTTTTTTTTTTTTTGGGGCACACAGGATCCCCCCGGGTGCCATATATATGCTCTAGGTACGCCCCTGGAAGGAAGAACACTATAGTTTTTTGTATCATTCAAATGTACCATGCACATATCTATGTACATGTCTCTATTCAAAAGAACAATATTTCCGCCCTTGTCGGACGGTTTTATGATAACATTGTCCAGCATTTTTAATTCTTTTAGAGCTTTACGTTCATTAAAGGTTAAGTTGTTAAATGGCGGGTGTTCATAAGCGTTCTTTTCTAGATCACTAATGGTCATTTCCACAAATAAATCAACATGTGGGGTATCCTTTAAATTAGGTGTAAACCAACTTTGGGGCCTTAATTCTGTTAGAGGTTTGTTAGTATTTTGTTCTTCCAGTAAATCCGTGAGCATTTTAGAAAATTCAAAATCCTCCAGGGATAAGCCCAACTCATTCGCTAATGATAAGTCCCTTTTGGAATGCATTAAATTCAATGCAAATTTTCTACCAAAAAGGTTTAAGTCTTTGGACCAGTCAAATTTGTTATGCCCTGGGGTGGGTACAAATGATAGACCCTTATTCAAAAGGGAAATATGTCGTGGTTGAAGGGAGAAATTGGAAAGATTAATGATTTTATTAGACATTAGAACCTCTGGCCTCGTCCTTGTCTCTTGTAGGCCCAGCGATCTCTGTCCCTCAGACTCCCCCTTTGTTCGCGAGGGGGGTCCTGTCCTAAAAAAGTTTTAGAGACAGTGGAGTTATTTATATCAGGGGTAATGGGAGCATCCAAAAAGGCAACTGATTTTTCGGTGTTCTTTAATATGCTCCTAGTGGGTGAATAGTTATGGACAGGGTCACTATTGTGGATATTTTTAGGATATTGTCTTTGTCTTGACCTTAATGAGCCTGTATCTGAGTCAGACCATTCAGTATCTGCAGAAGTAGAGCCTCTCTGGCCACTAAAATTTCTACGCGGTGTGAGCGTAAAAGTGGAATTGTGCTTGATGGAAGATATATCAGGCCTGATTTGTTAAACAGCAACCTGGGAATTTTCAGTTAAATGCCCCAGGGAGAGATGTTAGAGTTTGCAATCTACATTGCTAAGGTTCTGCAAAACATGGTATGGGTCCCTGGGGCGGAGTATTTGGAGAGCAGGGTGAGCCAATGCTCCAACAGCATTAGTTGCTGTGTAACAGACCACTATTTGGATCTGACTTACAAATTAGTTAATTGGCACTCACCTGTAGCCAGTCAATTAGTAGACAGGCCTTTAAAAGAAGAGGGCAGCCTGCTGCAGAGTGAGGGAGAAAAAGACAGCTAGGAGAGATTCTGTTTATTGCAAAGACATTTCTTTTGTTTGGAAAATTGGTAAGTGGGAAAGCCACCCAATTGCAGATAGCAATTACTGTCTAGTAAGAGCTCAAGTAAGAGCAAGGGATTTTGTTTGTTTTTGTTATTATTTAAAGCACCTGTTTTCTTACTGAATAAAAAGGAAAACCGAGCTGAATGTGTCCTGGACTTTGTATACCCTAGAAGGCTGTGGTTACTGCAAGATCTGTGACAATCCTACCTGTAAAAGAGGTGGTTTGTTACATATGGTGGAGAATGCGGGCAGCCACGTAAGCCTGAGGGTAGAAGTCATTTAAAGCTCAACATGGAGGATGTTATCAAGGCTCTGATCCAATCCACCTCTGTGCAACAGGAGGCTAACAGGAGAGCTGCAGAAAACAGTGCAGCCCTGCAGCAACTGGTGCTGGCCCAGGCAGAGTGTGCTAAAGTCCTGGCCAAAACACAAATGGAGTGCACTGAGTCCTTGGTGAAACAGCTTGTTGTGACACAAGCGGAGATGTTTAAAGTAGCCCGTGAGGAGCAGCAAAAAGTCACCCAGGGACTACAACAGGAAATCCAAGCTATCTCTGAAAAACTGAATGGAGACCCTGATGGAAGATACCAGGGGCCAAAGGTGATTCGGGTGAGCCACTATCTTCAGAAAATGACCGCATCAGATGATGTTGAGGCGTACCTTCTGGCATTTGAGCGCACTGCTGAGAGGGAGGGATGGCCGGCTGGTGAGTGGGCAAGCATACTGGCACCGTTCCTAAGTGGAAAGCCGCAGAAGGCATATTATGACCTAGAACCAGCCGATGCAAGTATCTACAGCAAATTGAAAGCTGAAATCTTGGCACGACTGGGTGTAACCTCTGCAGTACGTGCCCAAAGGTTCCACTCATGGTCATTGTAACGGAACCGCTGGCACCCCGACCGGGTACCTTCCGCCGACGGATGCTCCTAGTGCTTTTCGAGGACTCCAAGCACTCTGCCTGACACCATAACCACTGCAGACCCCACGAACCGCCGCAGCTTGGTTGGATGTCAATTATAAAGTCAGACAACCAGGAAGACGAAAGCCTGAACAGTTGTATCATATAAATCTGTTAAAGCCATGGAAGGACAGGGAGGTCCTGGTTGCTTTAAAAACTTCAGAACCTCCTATAGTAGAGCCAGAGGTGAATGTATCTGAGACTCTGTCTGTACATCAAAAGCAAGAGGTCAGAGACTTCATCAGAAGAAATAGGGATGTTTTCTCGATAGTTCCAGGAAATACTAAGGTGATTAAACATGACATAATAACCGAACCAGGGAAAAGAGTTAATCTCAAACCCTATAGAATTCCTGAGGCCCGGAGGGAGGTTATAAACTTAGAGGTTGAGAGCATGTTAAAACTTGGAGTCATTGAAGAATCCCAGAGTAACTGGAGTAGTCCTATTGTATTGGTGCCAAAACCTGATGGCACATGGAGGTTCTGTAATGACTACCGCAAGTTAAATGCTATCTCAAAATTTGATGCTTACCCAATGCCCAGAGTTGATGAGTTAATAGAAAGACTGGGTAAAGCTCGTTATCTAACAACCCTGGATTTAACAATGGGTTACTGGCAGGTCCCTCTCACTGAAAGAGCCAAAGAAAAAACAGCCTTTTCAACACCCAGTGGCCTGTTTCAGTACACTGTATTGCCATTTGGGTTACATGGGGCACCTGCCACATTCCAACGAATGATGGAGAGAATTCTTAAACCTCATGTTCGTTATGCTGCAGCATACTTGGATGATGTCATCATCCACAGTGCAGACTGGGAATCCCACCTCCCCAAAGTTCAAGCGGTGCTTGATGCTATCCGCTCAGCGGGCTTAACTGCCAATCCTTCCAAGTGTGC